AAACCCCTAAACCCCTAAACCGACCTCCAGGGCTGCGAGTCGACCACCGCCTCTTCTTTGGATCATCAGAGGTGTGAGGTTGAGACTTTGGGGCTTTATGGCTGTGGGTTTTTGGGTTTTTTTTTGGGGATGGTTTTTGAGACTGTAGGGCTTCATGGCTTCGGGCTTTTTTGGGGTGGGTTTTTTAGACTTTTGGGCTTTGTGGCTTTGGGTTTTTGGGTGGTTTTTTGAGGGTTTAAGGCTTTATGGCTTTGGGGGNNGGGCTTCGGGGTTTCGGGGGTTTAGGGTTTGGGGTTTGGGGTTTTAGGGTTTGGGGTTTAGGGGTTTTAGGGTTTCGGGGTTTGGCATTTGGGCGGTCATCATGGGCACTGAAGATCAACGTCGTGTCTGGGGTAATATAGGACCGTACATGGATTCAGACGGTGCTGTTCAGTGCACTTTGCGCTTTGAAGAAGGGCCAGAATGCAAGGAGTGACGACATGTAGTTACGCCATGTAGTGCCCGATAATTACCCATCTTACAACGGCTCCCTCTGGGAAGTTGCTTTGTAACCAGGAGCCAGACCAGCGAACCATGGCACAGGCAGGGCAGGACTACGCCTTCCAGAATTCCAAGCAGGCTCACAGGAAGATCGTCAGAACTGACATGAGGATGGGAAGACCATCGACGACCACCTCGCAAATGCGGGTGTCTGAAAGCCGACGAGAAATCCTTTCGCTCGGCGGCTGCTTACTGACTGCCATCTGGTGTCATCCTTTGTACAGGGGGAGCCACTGGGACCCAAGGTACCTTCCCGACCGTCCAGACGGGGAAGCAGCTCGGCGACACTAACAAGTCCTGTGTGCTAGCAGTTTCGCGGCAACACCAGGCCTTCATTGCTGGCTTCGTTATTGCAGCAGTAGAACGTAACTGTAGTCGTTCGAAGTCTGTAAGAAGATGATACGATCATGCGCACCTCCACAGGATGTGTTCATCGATGCTACCTCAGTTTCACTGTCTGCGTGTCTAGCGTGCGTGCGTGTTTGGGCAATCGCCCTTTCATTCCCCCGCGGTTTGCGTAGCTCTGGAGCTCCGCAATCCGCAAATGATGGGGCTTAGTGGTTTAGCATGTTTTAGGCCAAAACCCTAAACCCTCATCTAACACCGAAACAGAACACCCCCTGCTGTAAGTACGCCTACATACCCTTAACCCTAAACCCTGTACCCCTAAGGTACTCCTGATTCCAGAAAGCCTAAACTAAACCCTTGCCTTGAGGTACCCCTGATTTTGAGAAAGCCTTACAAGACCCAAGGACCCTGAAGTTGGGAAGCGGCCAAAACCCAAGAACCACGTCCTAAAGTTTCGGGTTGAGGGTTAAGGAGAATACTATATTCATCATGTCTACGGCACCGCCTGACCCTTGAAAGCCCTCACAATACTGGACCCATAAAACCGATGAAAACCACCACCTGAATCCAGCCCAGACAGAATCACATCCCTTTGGCTCTTTGGGGTTTAGGGTTTAGGGTTTAGGGTCAAAACCACCACCCCAGACAGAATCACATCCCACTGAGCCCCTTACTCTCACGGGAGGCGTCGGTCAGGGAGGAAGAGAGTTCCTCCCCACCGCACAGGAAAATATCTAGCAAGATTTAGGCTCAGTGATACATACATATATATATATATATGCAGAAGTCAGCTTGTAGTGATAACGAATCACCTACCCTTGCGGCGAAGTTTGTAAACTCATTTATACAAAACGCACATGCCTCAAATCCAAGCGGATCCTGCATGGGTTGCCGACATACATGCAGGTACCTCCACGCTTGTGTTCATATAGGGGCATTAAGAATTACCTACATTATTTTTTTTTTGGGGGGGGGGGCTCCTTGTTACAATTATAGTAACAACAAACCAGTTATCAGGAAGGCTCTTGTAAAGGACTACCTCCCGAGGATAAGTGCTTAACCGTAATGACACTCTAGATTGGGCACCCAACCAAATGCTACAAGAGTACTGGTCGCCGTAGCAGTAGCAGCAGCAGCAGCAGCACTAGCAGCAGCAGTAGCAGCAGTAATGCTAACATCAATATTCCATGAACGCTCAGACTATGTGAGCCTACTAAGCACAATGATTGTTCAACGTCGGTCACAATAGCAATGCCCTCGTGACCCTGAACCCCAGACCCGAAGCCCATGAACACAGTGGTTCGGGAGGGTTTCCATACCGTCCTGTAGCTTCCTCCTCAATTCAGCCAGCTCCTGTCGCGAAAGACAGGCGGCTCGAGCGTAAGGTTCAGGAATTCTTAAGGTTTAGGGTTTGGGTTTAGGGTTTAGGGCAGCAACGCACACAGCTGAGAACGTAACCCCAAATCTCGGCCCGCTGTTTGCTTTCATCCGAACTCTCGCGCTACGAACCCCAAACTTAGATGTGGGTAGTTCTCTACACTAGGGTCCCTTTTGGGGGTCCCTTTTATAAGGGTGCCATACTATATTGGGGACCTAAAAAGGGACCCGAATTTAGAAAACCACTCATGTACACTGCAAGGAAACGCATGAGACTACAGTCAAACACCCCAGCAGGTCGGCTCTTTGGCCTCTAACCCTACCTGGGGGTTTCCAAAAATAGGGGACCCTAATATAATACCCTAAATAGTAGGATCCCTATTATAAGGGCCCCAAAATAAGGTACCCCTAATTTTCAGAAAGTCCCACCTGAAGCCTGAAGCCCAGAAAACCTACTTGCCTGGCGCTCCCCCCTAAACCCTAAACCCTAAACCCTAAACCCTAAACCCTAAACCCTAAACCCAAAACCCTAAACCCCCTTACCATGAGCAAATGATGGCGTAGGGTCAGCACCTCATGGGGGGAGGCTTAGAAAGTCAGCTCTGAACAAGTATACTCTTATAAACCCTGAACCCTAAAC